CCGAAACCCTAAACCCTAGACCTAACCCTCAACCGCTGCCTTAGCGTCAAGTAAGGAGTATCGGACCGGTGCTCACGCTATGGCCTCTGCCGGGTGTTCCTGTCACTTTCAGGCTCCCTTGAGCCCTTAGGGTTTAGGGTTTAGGGTTTAGGGGTTAGGGTTTAGGGTTTAGGGTTTAGGGTTTGAAGCTTTCTGATCTCTAAGGCTGGAATCACGGGCCCCTAGCACGACCCCTAAGCCTTGTGTTTAGAAGCGTCCGAAGTATGGGCCCTTAATCTCGGAACACGGAATTATCTTTCAGCCCCACAAGTAAGCGATTGTCATGAGTTTAGGCCGAAACCCTAAAAGGAATAGGTTTGGGTGGTTTTGCCGCCTCGGACGGCGTGGGGTGGGAGGAAAGTATTACATGGCCTTCCACAATCGGGCCAGAGCTGTGCTCTCTGATGAGGCATTCGAGCCTCTGCTGCATCCTAACCTTCACAGCATCTACGCCCTATTACAGCAAACCTTAAGCTCCAAACCCTAAACCCTAAACCCTAAACCCTAAACCCTAAACCCTAAACCCTAAACCCTAAGCCGCACCTCGTCGCTGGCGCAGGGTGGCAGAAGTACCGCCGGAACCTGGTCGAAGACATGATGCTCACCTGGTCTCCTGGCCGTAGACCCTAAACCCTAAACCCTACACCCTAAACCCTAAACCCTAGACCCGAAACCCTAAACCTTAAACTCGAAACCCTAAACCCTAAACCCGGAACCTTAAACCCTAAACCCTAAGAAGTGCGGCCGCGGCAATTGATTCACCCTGCTTTGTGCAAGCGTTTTGTATACCAAGGCTGTACCGAGTTGGTGGGTTTCCCCAGTGCCCATTTGTGCAGAGTTGTCGCTTCTCGCCGAAGCACAAAAAGCCTATACAAGAGCTAAGCCCTGCCAGCTCATTGCCTCGGAGCCCTCCGTAGGTAATGACAATGTTGAGGGGTTTAGGGCTTAGGGTTTAGGGTTTGGATTCTTTGCAGCCCCGAGGAGCAGGTGCCTCCCTAAGCCGTGAACCGACACCCAAGCCCAGGTCGGTGTGGCTTCCGGTCTTCCTGGTGAACTTTTCGTTTAGCCAACGGCCCGGCTGTGGAGTTTAGGGTTTAGGGTTTATGGTTTAGGGTTTAGGGTTGGGGGTTTAGGGTTTAGGGTTAAGGGGTAAGGGTTTAGCCCAAGTCCGACTCCCAAAACCTTCAGACCCCAAGTTCCCAACCCTTGAGCACCTAAACTGCCTGACAACTCTGGGTGCACAGCTGCAGGTACTGAGCTCCTACTTGTCCCAGGTAGGGTTTAGGGTTTAGGGTTTGGGGTTTAGGGTTTGGGGTTTAAGGTTTAGGGTTTGGCGGTTGAGGGTTTAGGGTTTGGGGTTTGGGGCTTGGGTGGGGTTTAGTTTTTTTGTTCAGGGCCTCTTATGTCAGCACTGTGCAGAGCCTCTGTCAAGCTTTGTCTGCTAAGAATCCCAAGCTACGATTCGCTCGGGAACCCTCCCCTCCCAAAAAAATAGAGTGAAAGTCATCGCTTGGATATTTTTTTGGAAAGAGCCCAGGGATCGGCTTCTGTGCCGGTGGGTTTTGTTGCTGGTGTAGGCTTGTCCCTGGGGGATGCCTGATCCTAAATGCTACAGGAATGAAAGCCCTGAAACCTTGGGCAGCATAGTGACAGTTTCAGGGGTAAGCCCTGAAACCTTAAATGCAGCAAGAAACCTTAAACCTGAAGCCTAAACTAAACCCTGAGGGGTAAGCCCTGAAACCCTAAATTCAGCAACACCCAAAACCCTAAACCCTAAACCCGAAACGGAAAGCCCCTTCGAGGACATAAGTTCTGCGGTTGTTGGTTTTCGTGGAGTCTTTGGCCCCGTGCAAGATCTGTGAGAGGGCAGTGTCCATCGAGCCATGAGCGAGAAGGCTGCAGTGAAGTCAGCAGGGGCTGCTGCGAAGGGCAGTGCAGGGAGCCTCGTCATGTAGCGTTGTTGAGAACATGTATGGCAGGCTAGTGTGGACGTGTATGTGTGTGTGTGTGTGTGTGGTTTGTGTGGGTGCCTGCGAGGTTGAAGAGTTCTGGCGTTAGTACGATGGCGCAAACCAAGGTGTTCAGAAGTGCCGAAGTTTTTGCCCGTTAAGCGTCAACGTCGTCCTGCGCCGATCCCTGCGCCGTGCTTCCTGATCACTGTGCACAGCTATGCGACTCGCGCAGAACTCTTGTTCCCGGATGCGGAGGGCCCCTTGGCACTCCTTGCGCTTCAGCACAGCAGTGCCTCGTTGTTTGATTTGGAGCTTTGTATTGGTCCGGCATGTGGCCTTGTCTAGTCACAATCGCACCCCGACGACATGGATTTCTTTCAAATGAATCGACTGCTGTCACACTAGACCTGAGTGCTTCATGCCAGTAGCAAGGGACTGCTTCCTTATCCAGACCGAACGTTTTGTCTTTTTCGTTCCACCCAGAAAACGCGATTATTCCGAACCCCAACTGATAGTGGAGTTATTCTAACCGCTTGCAGGTGGGCGCCCGAATGTACTTTTCAAGATTTCGGAGTCATGGCCCGAGTTCTTGCGCTGCGGCGCTCCGGAAGGATTTCCTCGGGATGAAGAAGCATTGGTTGCTCGGCAGTCTTTTCATGTGCAACACGCTGGAGCATTGCTCCTTTCGTGTGTGTTGTGTGTGCGTTCCTGGCTATGTGCTCGCAGGGCCAGGATGCACAAATGTGGCTGCGCGCACAGCGTGCGCCGCCTTACATGGTGGGCCTCTACGTTGCAGGATCTCCAGATAACGTGGCCGCGGCGCTTCATTTATGCCACCAGTATGTCCTGTGGCGCTGCAACACAGCAGCGGAGTTTCGTGGCCGCGTTGTGCCCAAGGCGAGGAGTCCTGTAAGAAGCATGTGGTCGCTCGTCATCTGTGTGTGCGTGCGCTTAACTCGTAACTGTCTGTGCTTCACTGTGTCCGTCAGACGATTAGGTGGAGGTGGCTGTGGGATGCCAAGAGCTTCGACAAGTAGTTGGTGCCTGGGCCAATACTATATCTCCACCTGCAGAGATCCGGACGGATTTGGCTCCTTTCGATCTGAGCCGGCTGCCGCCGCCGGGGTGGGCAGGACATGTGCGTCTGCAAGTGCAGGAACAGGGGCACAGAGTTTGTCTACGCCTCACGGGCAGCACATACGCACTGGGTGGGGCGCTTCCAGGTTGGACCGGGTATTGGGCCCGCGCTGATGGAGAGCGTGTTGTCTGCATTTGGCCCTCGAAATCCCAAACCTGGGTTCGTAGAAGCGTCAGCCGGAACGCGATGTTGACGCCTTGAGTGTGTGATTGGATCTTTGCAAGTCCACAGTTCGAGCGCTAACGCGGAGACTAGCAGTTGCAGTGCATGTGCTCTATAAGGATCGTTCCAGCCAAAGAGACTGGCGCGCATTACGAGCGAAGCATCGTGGTTCCCCACACGGAGATCCAGGCGCACTTGGCCGTCTTACGCGAGCTGCCCGTGGAGGGCCGCGCAGTGCTAGAAGATTTGAACAGCAGTGGGAGTTGAGCAAAGTCTCCCCGAGGCAGTTCAGAGTATCCGTTGGACGCCAGGCTGTCATGACGCGAAGCCTAAAAGTTGCTTCTCATTTGGTGGCCGAGAGTTCGCCAATGCTAATACTTGCTTTTCTGGCGTCCAAAGCAGGAACTCGCCCTGTTGTGAGTTTTCGGCTTTGCGTTCTAGATGCGAAAACAAGACGCAGGCTTGAGGCCAGCTGCACAAGCAGGAACCCAAGACTCGCCTGTCGTGGTTAGGATCAAAGTCTTCTGCGCTTCTAACATTGCGTCGTCTCGTACTTGCGTTGGTAGAGGGCTCATCTAGAAAGCTGGCCAATTGCGTTCAAAGCACTTGTTGCTTTGCGCTTCGGCAAAAGTTGGCGAGACGCTGTCTGCCATGCTAGCTGCAGAAGCAGGAACCCAAAATTGGATTGTTGGAGGCTGCTTTTGTAGGATCCAAGGCAGGAGTTCCTCCTTTGACGCGTCGCCGTACAGAGAGGCACGTAGTAGATGCTTCCAAGGTGCGTCGGAGTCCTGCGCAGCACAGCAGGGTGGGTCGATGTACAGCTGCGTGCGGCCGTCCGCGCATGAACAGCAGAGGCTGACATTGGGACCACTCGCTGCAGTACAGGTGCTAAATGCTGCAAGCCGCTATATTTGCGTCCAATTGTTATTTGTACAGGTTGCCATGCGAGCTGCAGAAGCAGGAACTCAAGAGTCGACTGTAGTGGTTGGCAACAACGCAAGACCTAGTGCTTTTAAAATGGTGCTTAGTGTGGTGTCGGTTTGGGCAGAGGTTTCAGCCAGACAGCTGGCAAAAGTTGGGTGCTGCTTTTGTTGGTGGCAGAAGTCCTCTTCTCACGAGTCACTGGACAGAGAGGCACGTGAGCAGAAAGTCAGTTGCTGACGAAGGCACGCGCAAGGTTTGTCCGGGAAATAGCGAGCGAGGTGGGAAATTGATCTATATGTGGTGTTGTGTGCTTCGTGTAAGTTGGCGTGAAGAGCTTCGTCACGGTGAACCGGCTGTCGAGCCTCGCTTGCGCGACCTGTGGAAACATTGCGTGGTCCTGCAGGCAGCTCATGGGACGGAAGTCATGCTTGTTTGCAACAAGTGTACACATTCTCACTCGACTGTGAGCTGTTTCTGAAAGGCTGACTGCAGATTTGTCGGGTTTGAGTGTGAGGGTTAGGCGCTTCCGGAGCTCGCGCTTGGCATGTCTACGGTGCGAGTGGTGCTCACAACTGCGGTGCCGTCGCGAGCAGCCGCGAAAGCTGCAACGCAGCCGCTCTTAGGGGACCTTTTCCGCCACGTCAAGAAGATTGTCCCGCTATCCAACGGTGGAGTGTTGCAGGCGTCAAGCGTACAGAACGCAAATCCAGAACTGAACCCTTACAGTCTAAACCGTCGACCTTGTATCTTGAGCGCTAGCCCAGACGGACGAGGCCTGACGCCTTATGATAGTGACTCCTTGGCAGGTTGTACTTGAGGACAATGCACCTTTGGATCGCATTGCTACGCTATTAGCTCCTCTCGGGCAAGTTGATGTTCTCGACCAGGAGGCGCATCAGCGTCGGGAGGCCGGGTGAGGCGGTACATGGGCGAGTAAGTGTGCGAGAGAATGGGCTAGCGATCGGTTGGTATGGTGTGTGAGCGTAGCTGCAGACGTGCATGTAGAGCTACGTCTTGTGAATGCCAGGCAGCCGACCAGGCGTTGAAGACAGCGAAGATGCAGCAAAGGGCGGGTGTGGCTAATGGCGTAGCTGCCTCTTCCTTGGCAGCAGATCTCTTGGCTCTTCGGGGTACAGGTGGTTGTGCTCGCAAGCGCGCTTCGTCTGCGAAGTTGTGCGTTTTGTCTAGCTTGTATTGGTGTATGTTGTATTGCTGCATGTCCACCTTTGCACCCTTGCAAGGGCGTCGATTTGCTGAAACTGCCATCGACTATGTGGCGACGGCGCAAACGTGGAGTGCGGACGGTTTGCGTAAGCGTCCAGAAGATGATGACCACGACAACGAGATCTCAGAGTAGATGCTTTCAAGGTGCGTCTGAGTCTTGCGCAGCATAGCAGGGTGGGTCGATGTACAGCTGCGTGCGGCCGTCCGCGCATGAACAGCAGAGGCTGACATTGGGACCACTCGCTGCAGTACAGGTGCTACATGCTGCAGGCCGCTATATTTGCGTCCAATTGTTATTTGTACAGGTTGCCATGCGAGCTGCAGAAGCAGGAACTCAAGAGTCGACTGCAGTGGTTGGCAACAACGCAAGACCTAGTGCTTTTAAAATGGTGCTTAGCGTGGTAGCGGTCTGGGCAGATGTTTCAGCCAGACAGCTGGCAAAAGTTGGGTGCTGCTTTTGATTGGCAGAAGCAGGAGCTCAAAAAACTGGCTCGTTGGGTGCTGTTTTTGGCGGATCTAAAGCAGGAATTCCTCCTCTCACGAGTCGCTGTACAGAGAGGCACGTGAGCAGAAAGTCAGTTGCTTGCGAAGGAACGTGCAAGGCTTCTCCGGGACATAACGAGTGAGGTAGGCAGTTAGTCTAGACATGGGGATGGGGCTGTGTGGTTCTTGTTCATTCGCGCACAGGGCTGCGTCACCGGGACGCGACTTTCGAGTCTCGCCTGCGCGACTTGTCCAAAAAGGGCGCGGTCCGGCCGTGTACGTTCAACTATTCGGATGGAAGTCATGCTTGTTTTCAACCTGTGCAAAGAGCGCGGGACACGGAAACTCATGCCAAGCGCTTATGTCGATAGCTCTAAAGTGCCACATGTAGGAATACATGATCAATTCCGTGGAACTTGAAAACCCCAAGAACTGAAACGTAAACCTTGCACCGTAAGGTTTGAATCCTTGATTCCCTCTTTCCCGCTCCCTCCTTTTTGCTTCTCCCACCACGCAGCAGTATTCGTGTGTCTTCTGGTGTATGAAGCAAAACTGCCAGCATCAAGTTTGTGGCGCCACAGCCTCACTCCCAGGCGTTGCTTCCTCAGCACAGAGCGCCTCATAGTTCTCACTTGTGTGGTCGCCGGCTCCTCTAGCAGACTCCAGAAAAGCAAGTATCACCAAAAGCCCCCTTAACCCTAACCCCTAAACCCTAAACTATGAACCCTAAATCCGAGACCCTAAACCCTAAAAGCCACTGAGGTGGGCTCCATATCAGAACGTGAGCAATTGGCCTGTCCATGCTGGACTTCCAGTCCTCGTGCAATATCACGCCGGGATCCGTGCGTGGAGGGTATTTAGGGTTTCAAGGGTTTAGGGGTTCTAGAAATCATGGTTTTAGGGTTTAGGGTCTAGGGTTCTAGAAAGCATGGTTGGAGGGTTTAGGGTTTAGGGTTTTAGAAAGCATGGTTTGAGGGTTTAGGGTTAGGGTTTTAGCTATCATGGTGTTAGGGTTTAGGGTTAAGGGTTTTGGAAACCATGGTTTTAGGGTTCAGGGTTTAGGGTTCAGGGTTTCAGAAATCATGGTTTTAGGGTTTAGGGTTTCGAGGTTTAGGGTTTAGGGCCCCATCACGCTAGCATTCTGTGTGCAATCGGGGCGGGGGGGGGTTGGGCTTTCGGGGTAGGGTGTAGCTCTTAGAAGGATGAGCAAAGCGGCGTTGCTGCCTGAAGAGCACCCCCCGTTTTTTTTTTGTTTTTTTGTTTCGGGGGGGCATTGAGGCTGCAGAAGGTTCAAGGGGTTCAGGGATTAGATCCCCCAGGCCCTCAACCCCCCTGTTTTTACAAGGAGCAGCATTTGGATTATTTTTTGGGAGGAGTTCTTAAACAAGTAGCAGTAAAGTGAAAGGGGGAGAAGATGCCAGCGGCTCCAAAAAGGATTCTTATTGCGAGGGCTCAGCGCGTCTTTAGGAGTCTTGGGGTTTCAACACCTTGTTGGACCCTGAAGCCCAAAGAGCCCAAAACCCGTGAACCTGCAAGTAAGCTTCGGCGAAACGAAGGTCCGAGCGGGCGGACACGTCAAGGAGGCCCTGTCATCTCGAGTCGCCCGGGTAAATGGATTGGCAAACTCATATGTTTCGATGAACCGGAGGCTGAGGAGATCTAGCAAGAGCAGGAGGACCCCATGCCCCACGCGTCCCAGTACATCCCCACACGTCCTCACACTCATGACTGATCAGGATGGATTACCTGCTGAGGAAAGTGACGAGGGGCGCCGACCATATCTGAGCGCATATCTGAGCGCATTTCTGCAAGTTGAGTATGTTGCCTGCAATGTTAAAGCTTCAGGCCCGACGTGATTCGCGAGCAGATCGCGAGGATTGAGGACTCCGCCACATGCCTCAGAGAAAGTGGAATGCGAATGAAGCAAAGGCGTGGCACATGCAGCACCTGTCCTGGAGGAGAAGCTGGCAAGAGCGCTTGCTCGACTTGCAGCGGAGTAGCACGAGCTCCTTCTTTAGTCGCGCGCAAAAGAAATTCTAGTTTCTGCATTTTCAGGCAGTCAGGTTCCGTGTCACAATGCAATCCGTACATGGTGGTCTGACGACAGTTTGGGCTTGGAGGTGCAAAGTCGTCGGGCAAGTCGTTGCGGTTTGTAAGCTAATCGAGACACATGCACATATGACCACCATCAAGGATGCATTTACATGCCACGATCTTGGGTACTGTTTCTCTAGAGCCTCATGGGGAGTGCAGAGGCACCAAAGCTTGACGCAGCGATGGCGCCACTACAGGATCGACCCTTGGCGCCAGGAACGCCAGATACTGCGGATGCCATTTACAGCGTGGAGAGCCGTGTGGCGCATGCACCAGCAAAGGTGGCGCGCACAGCAAACCGGGCGATGGCACTGGCAACGCAGACACCGCGGGGTGTTGATGGCGAATGGACCACAGACGTCTTGCCGGCAGACGTTAAATGCCGCGGGAGGCGCCAGGACTCCTTAAAAACTGGCAGGAGTTTCCAGGTCAACTCCTTACCAAAAACACCTGGGGCAGACGCTTTCGTGATGTGTGGGCGTGCATCTTTAGCAAACACTGACCAGATCCATGGAGGTTCCCCCCCCCCGGGCATGGAGCGTGCGCAGTGTTGTGCGGCGTGTCGTCGGCAGAGGTACGCCCGTGCGGTTTTAGAGACTAGTTGTTGCATATCGCGTAGCAATGCCTGGGCAACAACATTGGTGCACACCACGGGGTTGCACATGGTAAACGGTGGTTTTCACAGTATTGCTGGCATATTGCAGGAATGCCTGACAGCTTTCGTAGACACAAGAACAGCCACGCGTGTGCACAAGCTGCTTTGCTTCCCGTTGTTGGGCATGATCCCGCAGTGCTCTGAGGCATCTATCTGCTCATGCCAACGGGAACCGGTGGCCGCTCCATGCACTTGGCGCGCCCTGCCATTGGGCGGCAGCGGTGACCGGGATGTGCGTATGGTGTCACGTGCAGGCATCGGGGCCCAAAACAAGCGCCGCGCCACGACGGGCCATAAGTATGTGCAAGGGTTCAGATGGCCATGCCCAGATGGCACTTGTGAGGCACGATACATGCGCATCGCGAAGCAGGCGCATCTGGTGCAAGCGCAGTGGAAGGGCGGACGGCGTCTGGGGCAGAATCGGCGACGCAGAAGGGCAGCACGCAAAAAACTAACCACTTCTGCTGGCGCCGTCCGCACCACAAGTCCAGGCAGTTCCACGTACGGGAAATGCAAGTCGTGCGATACTGCATGCAGAGTGCTGTATTGTGGGAAAAAACATGTACGGGCTCTGCGGCCGCGATGGGTCGCGCTGCGTGAAAAAACGCCAGTCGTGGATGGCAACGCAGGACTACGAAGTCCTGCCGCGAGCACGAGAAAGGCACGGTTCCGCAGATGCGCCTTTGTCGTGGACGCAACGTCACGTGGCTGCGGCGTGTCATGCCAAAAAATTACACCCCGAAATCGTGTATACGTCCGGGGCGGCGCTCCAAGAAGTGCCGCCAGTGACGCCGCAACCTTGCCCCGCGCACGATGTTTCTTCTGTGATGCGGTCTGCGTCGAGCAACACCAACTCAATGTGGCAGACCAATATTTGTGTCGTTGCAGGACCTGTCGTCGGCGGGTGTGCAACCGCTGCGCAGAGCGGGAACTTCGTGAATTCTACTGTCCGTGGTGCGTGGAGAATCGAGTAGCTGCTCTAGAAGCTGCACAGACCGTCGCGCGCATGCGAGTCTGCGCGCGGTTGCATCAGACTGCGCAGGAGGATCGCGACTATGCATATTTACTGCAAGTGGCGCAGCAGTATGCCAGCAACACGTCACATACGGCCATGACGACTTGGGCGCAGGTTTGTTCCATGTCTGCTGCTCCGACGCGGCCGCGAATTGGGGGGGCGCGTGGGCCATCTGCTAATCGCAGCGAAAAAACAGTACCGGATCTCCTAGAAGCCGTGCTGTTGTCGGTGCTCGGCGACGCAAAAAGAGTTACGAACCTTCTGCAACAAGCCTGGGTGAAAGAGTGGAGCGGCTGGGACGATGTCGCGGCTGCTACGAGTGACAGCGCAATGGTGCACTTAGGTCAACGACTCTTAAGGCTAGCAGAGACAAACGCTGCAGTCGAGGTCCAAAGCAATCAGGAGCGGTTGAAGATGTTACGATGCGAGGGGTGGCAGCTGCGCCAAGGGCACGCACACGGGGCCAACAATTGTCTCCTGGATTCGCTACTTGTGGCTTTGGCCAGCGTCGACGTACTGCCACGGAACCTTCAAGACGACGTTACGCGCAGGGCGCAAGCCTGTGCTGCGTGTCGTGCGGAATTCGTCCACGGACCGGAGGAGAGTCTCCGTCCACAAGACCGCGACGAACGCGGGCGGGGTCAGGCCAACGATCGTGCGTATTTGGAACTGGATCGACATGGGCCGCCTGCTGCGACGTTTCTGTACGAGTACATCATTGGTCGGCCGTGGCCTGCAACACTGGCGGTGGATGTCATTGTCTACACACGTTTTGACAGCGCGAACATGAATCCCGATGCATGGCCGCTTCGTTTGGGCGCCACGAAGCAGCCAGCAGACACCGTGGTGCGCCTGTACAATCACATGGATGACCGCGGCAACGGGT